TGATTTCCATTCTTTTTTATGTTTTTTTCTTTAAAAGATTTTTTAAAATGATTTCAGAGAGGAAGGGAGAAAGTGATAAAACATCAATGACAGAGAATCACTGTCAGGCTGCCTCCTGCATATCTCCACACTGGGGATCAAGCCCACAACCTGGGCATGTGGCCTGACTGGGAATTGAACCGTGACTTCCTAGTTCATAGTTTGATGCTCAACAATTGAGCCATGCTGGTTGAGAAATTGTTTTCCATTCTTGATCCTTAAAGATCCTGAAGAATTTTTTGTTATTATTACAAGCATTATTTTTGTGAAGTATCTCATACTAAGAGATACTATATACATATGTATCTAAATGCACAGATAAAAAGGTTGTCCCAAAAAATGTAATACACACTTTAACAGCTGATAACTCACTTAATTTTCACTCTATTTCAGGTTTAACTGATTTGAAATAATGGGTGAGGCCAGAATAAGTTTTGAACAAAGGAAGCTCATCCTAAAGTGCCACTAGACTTTTTTCAAAAGGGGCTACATAAAAAATAAAGTTTACAGTATAAAACCAACAGTTGACAAATTGAAGGCACACAAATTCTGAAAAAAATGATTCTTGATGTTTGCGATTCTACTGCTTTGTGTTATCACTAGTGCATGGACAAGAACGGTCATCAGTTTGAAAACAGGCATTAACAAAAATTACTTCTGTACATTTAAAAAATTTTTAAAAATGAAATGTATGTTCCCAAGAAACTAGAAATACCAATCAGAAAGGATATATGCACCCCTATGTTCACAGCAGCACAATTTACAATAGCTAGGATTTGGAAACAGCCTAGGTATCCATCAGCAGATGATTGGATCCAAAAACTATGGTACATCTACACAATGGAATATTATGCTGCTATAAAAAAGAAGAAATTCTCATCATTTGCAGCAACCTGGATGGAATTGGAGAACATCATGCTGAGTGAAATAAGCCAGTCAATGAAAGAGAACCACCACATGACCTCACTCATTTATGGATAATAAATAACATTATAAACTGATGAACCAAAAGATAGATATAGAGACAGTAAAGCAACAAGCAGACTGTCAAATTACAGCGGGGAAGGTAGGGAGATCTGGGGTAGATAAGAGATCAACCAAAGGACTTGTATACATGCATATTAGTTCAACCAATGGACACAAAACTCTAGGGAGGGAGGGCATGTATGGGGGGGGGGGGCAATGGTATATGTACACAGATAATAATTTAATTTAAAAAAATACTCAACCAAGAAAAAAAAATGAAATGTTAATGAACACTAACTTTAAATTTTCACAAACTTACATAACATTCTTACAGAGGTTGTGACAATAAAGATGAGACAATCAGAACATTTTTCTTAAGATCTCTCTCCATTATCTTTCAGAGTCTTATCTTTCCTATTGAGATACCTTTCTAAATTTCTGTTTTCTTTTAAAAATTCAGAAATTATTTTGAATTTCTTGTACTAGATTCATGGGTAGTCTATGAAATAACTATTGGATTTTACCCCCAGAAGTGTTTTCTAGATGCATGTATATCCAAATATGACATTATGACATTTTTTAGCCCTGCCAGCATAGCTCAGTGGTTGATCACAGACCTATGAGGTCACAGTTCAATTCTCAGTCAGGGCACAAGCACAGATTGTGGGCTCGAACATGCAGGAGGCAGCCAATCAATGATCTCTCTCATCACTGATGTTTCTCTCTCTCTCTCCCTCCCTTCCTCTCTGAAATCAATAAAAAAAATTTAATCCTTTTTATATAAACTTACTATGGAAATATATCCAAAACAAGATAAGGAATACAACCAATGTCTGCCTACTTTTCAAACTAGAGTTCCTCGATCCCAAAATATCAAATTATCAATCATTCAATATCAAAGCACATTTTTTAGCAACCAAGTTATATAAAAAGTATGAAGACTTCATAGCTTCCTAAGAATAAATAGTGGCAAAACTCTGCAATTAAGTCAGGAAACCTTAACTCCTAGGAATATGCTTCCATCCTCCTTGCCCTTTTGAAAGTCCCTACCATCATACAATTCATAGCTTCAACTGGATTAGAATCCCTTCCAGGGTAGAGGCCATATATTAATCATCTTTGTTATAACTCAATAATTAACTCAATAATATTTGTTATAACTCAGATAAACTTCAGGAAATGAACCTCAAAACATCTCATTTCCAATACAAAACTGGAAAGATAGAAGTTTGAAAATAAAAATATAACCAAAAAGAATAAATTTATAGCCGAAACCGGTTTGGCTCAGTGGTAGAGCATCGGTCTGTGGACTGAAAGGTCCCAGGTTCGATTCCGGTCAAGGGCATGTACATTGGTTGCGGGCACATCCCCGGTTGGGGGTGTGTAAGAGGCAGCTGGTTGATGTTTCTCTCTCATCGATGTTTCTAGCTCTCTATCTCTCTCCCTTCCTCTCTGTAAAAAAATCAATAAAATATATTTTAAAAAAAGAATAAATTTATAAACAATTGTGCAATATTATATTCTCTTAACACCTAATTCAGAATCACATACTAACACTGCAGAAATAAGTATGCAAGGAAATAATATAAGTAAAAAACATGGATCTTCAAGTTTTCCTTACTGTCAGCATGCTCAAATAAAGCCACAGAATCTTTCATCTTTTCAATTCATACCAGCATACTCACTCCCAAACAAAACTAGAAGAAAAATAAAAAAGGCTTTCAAATGAGACCTGAATAAAAATTGGTTCTATTTCATTACAATGTAAGTTCCCAAAATTGTATGGATAACTTGTGTGATTGTTCTTATGCTCATTTTCTACAGTGAGCAAGGGTCTTACATTATTAATAGATTCTCAGACTGGTAAGTGTCCCAAAAAAACTTTAAGAACCACTGATCTAGCACACCAAAAAAATTCAAATTTCCAGAGAAATAAAATTAAGTTGGCTTTATTCAAGTCATATTCATAAAGGAGATGCTTACTATAAAATTAGCCTTTCTAAGAATTCTTTCAGCCTAGCCAAAGTTTCAATATCCATAGGCACATATAAAAACAATTCCAAGATCCCCCAAGTAGTTTAACAAACGCCAAAAAAAAAAAAAAAAAAAAAAAAAAAAGCAAAAGATGACACACTCTATCACAACCTGGCTACCTACACTGTTAAGGGTCTTAATTAAATACACTTCTATCCTTCCATATTAAAATGTCTGGAAATCTAAATACCTTCCAAACGGTAGATTTTTTTAGGAAGGTTTTCTATTGATAGTTTCAATCCCACACTGACTTGTTTGCCTCGCTCAAGTTAATATGTATCTCTGTCAAGTCAAGTCCCCCTTCAAATGTACTCAGGTTGTTTCAACAGAGTCACCTTGATTATTCTCAGCCTAAGACAGGACAATTTATTAAGAAGTTATTAGATAAATATTTGTTGACTGAATGAAAGATCCTTCCTCCCAAAGACTTAAAGTTAAGCTGTCAAAATAAAATAAAGTAAGAATTAAGTTGTCAGACCTCATGCAGCTGCTCTGGTACAAGCTAAACATACCCAAGTCTAACTGTCAGAAATGCTCTGCTTCCTCCATAAACAAAAAATAATAGAGTCATGGATACACATTTCCATACAGGTCAACCTGAACAAGGACAACAAACATTCCATATACATGTCTGACACAACTGATCTGTACCAAATGTATTATCCAACCAATCACATATGCCCCTATCTTTCCAATAAACTCAGGATTTGCCTGTCAAAGACCTTCAGGGGCTCCATTCATTGTACGATGAGAATACTACTTGAGTAGTGGTCAAACATTTGCGTTATAGTCCCAACTTTGTCTCCAACTTAACTTGTGACCTTGGAAAAATTCTCTCATTATGCCTCAATTTCCTATTCTGTAAAATAGAGAAAACATCTATCCTACCATTTTCACAGGGATTTAGGATCACACACACACACACACACAAACACACACACACTCACACACAAACAACTGAAAGTGCATTCTGAAAAATACAAATGCTTTCCTTTATTATAAACGTGTTGATATAAACTCAGGTCCACAAAAAGGCCAAGCATTCTTTATACCCTCATAACAACTGTTCTGTTAAAGATGGTCTGGGCCCTCGCATTTACACAAGTCACTCTATTAGAGAAACAAACTCTCCCTAAGACCACAACTGGCTATGACAAGTTTCTCCCATTCTTGACCCCACACAAAATACTACTGCCATGGCTGCTCTTTCCCAACCAGTAATAACGTACTCACTACTCCCAAACACACACACACACACACACACACACACACACACACATCCATCAGCAGGGCACATCCCAAGTTTTATCTTAAAAATAAGCTAACTTATAAGGGGAACTCCCATTACCCTTATACAAATACAAGCAAACTCTTCCGGAACACTTTCCTGCCTTCCATACACACACAAACAGCCGCTCTATACCAACAAGACCATCTGTCTTCCAGACCGAAGACACGTCTCTCCACGTACAAACTAACCAATAACACTTATTAAACTTGGAACACAGATCCTTCTGCCGCCCGCTGCATGCAGTTCAGCGTGTCGGGAACACGACAGACCCGACCATTCAGGTAAACTACCCTCCCAAGATCACTTCTCCTGCCACTCCTAACCCCGGAACAGGCGGAATCTGGACCTCGGGGGATGCTCCCAATCGTGCCTACACAACACACGCAAAATAAACCTGTCAGGGACAGGGACGGCTCCGCCTCCTCCTGCTTACTTTCCCGCCCCCCTTCCCCAAGCCCGGAGCCCGCCAGCGAGGGACACCCCTCCAGCCCCGCCGGGAGGGACTTCCCGATGAGCTCAGGATCCCCTGCCCGCCGCTCCCCTCCCCCATGCCCACCGCCGCTCTCCCGGAGGTCCAGGTCCGGGGATGACAGGAGCGCCCGGGGAGCCCAGGGTCGAGCAGCCGAGGACTTCCTTAGGCCCAAAGGTCCCCCCGGGCGCCTCTACTCACCGTGTCAGAGGCCGAGGCCCGGCGATGGGAGTGCAGGGAAGTGGGGAAGAGGGGACGGCCGCCACCAGGCTCCTCCGCTTCCCTCGGTCCACGGCGGGTCCCTCTCGCTTGTCAAGAGGCGGCCGGCGGGGGAGCGGGCTGGCGGAGACGGGAGAGAGGAAGAGAGAAAGGCGCGGGGCTGAGCTGGAGAGACTGAGGGGAGGTGGGTCCCGCAAACCGAGACGGGGATCGTCTCCCCCTCCGCAAAGCGAACCCAAAATGGCGGCGGAGTGGCGGCGGCAGAGCGGCGGCGGCAGCTCCTCAGGAGGGAGGGAGGGAGCGAAGGGCGCCTCGTACCCCCCCACCTCCCACTCCTCCCTCTTCGCTTTCTCCACCTCCCCGCTCCCCCCCGCCCCCCCGCACCCGACTCCGGCGGCGGCGGAGCGCGCACGCCCGCCCACACGCGCGGAGAGGAGCCGGGCTCGGCGCTCGCGGCTCCCACCAACCGCCGCCTCGGGCCGCCTGGCGCGCCCGCCGGCCCGTCCGCGCTCGCTCAAGGGCGCCTCCCCGCACCGCTCCCCGCTCCCCCCGGCCCCGTCTGGCCGGCTCCGGCGCGGCCTCCCGCGTACCTCCAGCGGCGCGAGCCCCGGCCTCCTCCTCCTCCAGCGCCGCTCCTTTCCTCCCCCTTCCCCCGCCCCCACTGCCACCAACAGCCGCCGCGGCCGCCGCCGCCGCCGCCTCCTCCTCCTCGCCCCCCCCCACATTCCCTCCACCCCGCGCGCGTGCGCCTCCCACAATCCCCCCCGCGCGCGTGCGCCTCCCACAATCCCCCCCGCGGGCCTGTTCCATTCCGGCCGCGGCGGGAGCGGGGAGATCGGGCGGCCGGGGCGGGCGGAGGGAGCAGGCGGCTGTGACTGGGACAACCCGCGTGGCTGACAGGGACCTTCGACCACTGACCTCCCCGGCCACCGCCCCGCGGCGGCCAGCGTCGCTTCCCCGCTCCGCCGCCAGCGCCAGCCGGGGGGTCGGGGGCCGCTCGGCGCCCCTCCGCCGGGCGGCGGTTGGAGGCCGCGGCGGCTGCGCGTTGGGCCGTTTCCTGCTGCCGGGCCGAGCCCGCGGCTCCGAGGCGGGACCGGGTCTGTGCGGCCGGCGAGCCTCGCCGTGCGCTTCGCCCGGAGAGGACCGGCCCGCGGCCGTCGGCGAGGGAGCGATCCTGCGCGGGCGTCCGCCCCCGAGGGCAGGGAGCGGGACCACGGACTTGGCGGAGGTAGGAAGCGGGGCTGAGCGGGCCGACGACCCTCCTGGGGGACTTCTCTCTGGGCTCCTTGTCTGTGGACTTGAGACCCAGAGAAAAACCCGCGCCGTGGTCGTCTTCCTCTCTTTCTTTCTAAATCCCGCTCAAGATTTCTCCAATGTCACACCACTGTTCCTTCTTCATGAGTGGATCATGCATTTCCAACTTCATGTTAGAGGATAAAGAAACCTTGTCTTTCTGGTTCAGTTCTGGACTCGATCTTCCATGCCCTGTGTCCTTCAGAGAGTTCTTTTCCTAAGCTCCTGGTTAGATCACAGAATTAGCTCCCAGGCACAGGGAAAGTGCAGAGCATGGTGTTATCGTGCAGAGGACTGTTGATGTTGATAAGGTTTGTGGGTGTAATTGGTAGTTGTGTGTCATTCTTCCAAGTCATTGATAAAACTATGCAAAATTAGTCCTATCAGATTTCGGTGGCTCCTATTAACTTGGTTCTCAAAACTCTGCACCAACATTTACGCTGATTGAATGCCGAACTGTGGACTATTCAGGTCCACTGGTAATCCCAAAGTCTCTCCTGTCACTCAAAGGGTAAAGTAGAATAAATTAGGAAAGGGATCCCTTTTCTTCAATATATGTGGGCTTCAAGGGTCCGCTAGGAGGATAGTTTGAAAATCTTAAAGGTCTAATCAAGTTCAAGTAGACACCTAAATTTCACCCTTCATCATATTTCAATGTATGGATCAGATTTTGATGGCTTGCTTTTTTTTTTAAAGAAAAAAAATCAGTTTTAATTACCTAACTATATATTTGCGTTTCCTAACTATGTCTCAAGTTCCAACTCTTTCATGGAGTCCTCTTAGGTTTACCTTGATCTTTTTTTTAATGTTATTTTTTGTTGATTTCAGAGAGGAGGGGAGAGGGAGAAAGAGAAAACTAGAAACATCAACAACGAGAGAGAATCCTCCTCCTGCACGCACGCCCAAAACCCTGGCATGTGTCCTTGACTTGGAATTGAACCTGGGACCCTGAGCCAAACCAGCTAGGGCACATTGATCTTTCTTTGCGTTTTATATGCAAGTGTGTTATCCTACTGACAAGTTTTTAACTTGAGGGCAGGGACTATGGCTAGCATGTGAGTCATGGAAATGTTGAAGTGAATGTTAGATATATTAAACATGAGAAGGGAAAGAGAATTAGCATTATCTTATATGTCCCTCAGAAAGGAGAACATGTGTTCCTGTTTAATCCTTACAATAAACAATATGTTGAGGTAGATCACCTTAACCCCATTAAAAGCCTGAGGCTCAGAAAAGTCCAGGAAGTTTATATTTAGGCTTTAGTTTGTCTGTCTTTTAAAAACTTAAATTATTTCACTATACCACATTGCCTTCCTGGTAAATTCCACCAGTTTATAAAGAAAGTTACTTATGGTCTCTGCCTTCATTTAGCTTTCAGTAACTGCACTAAGTTATGAATTGTCAGCCAAGCATAGGCAGATTCAATAGAAAAGAAGAGAATCTTCTTTTGTGTATGCCCCAGGTGCTACCGGAGGCCAAAATATAAAATAAAATGGCCTTATTGAATGAGTGAATGCTGAATTATTTGTCTCCCCTACCAAGGAAGGTAGGGGAGACAAAATAATGGTTCCTCCAAAGATGTTCATGTCCTAGTCCCTGGAACCTGTAAATAGATCACACGACAAGAGGAAATTAAGTATGCAGGTCGAATTGAGGTTGCTAAAGAGCTAACCTTAAAATAGGGAGAATTTCCTGGATTACTTGATAGACTTACTCTAAGAGGAAGATGGGAGTGTTAAAGTGATGCAATATGACAAAAACTTGACCAGTTATTGCAGGTTTTGAAGATGAAAGCAGGCTTCAAAAATTGAAAAAGTTGAGAGAGAAAAAGGCAAGAGAATAAGCACATTATTTGGAATAATGCTTACTCATAAAGAGAAAGTAAAGGGATAAGGCAGACAAAGAAATTGGTAATGGTCTCTTTCTAATGCTAGCTAGTGGGTACATGAATATTTGTTTTGGAGAAATATGTACTGAATATTTTTTTATAGATTTTATTAATTTTTTACAGAGAGGAAGGGAGAGAGATAGAAACATCGATGAGAGAGAATCATCAGTCAGTGCCTCTTGCACACCCCATACTGGGGATGTGCCCGCAACCAAGGTACATGCCCTTGTCCGGAATTGAACCTGGGACCCTTCAGTTCGCAGGCTGATGCTCTATCCACTTTGCCAAAGCAGTTAAGGCAACCTTGGCATATTGAGATGACCAAATGACCTATGCAGCCAAGACTTAAAAATTTTATTTTAACATCTGAAGCCTTATTTTTAAAGTTTATATTACAGAGCTTTTCCTATTTATCTATACTGCATTTAGACAATTCCCCAGCAAGGAAACACCATGAAATAAATGTTTATTTGCTTCTGCGGGGGGGGTGGGGGGGGGGGGGGGTCTGAGAGCAGTTTAGCTAATACTTGCTGCTAGACAGTAATATCATATAGCCCATCCTGTAAAATAAAACCTAATAAGCAAATCAACTGAACAGTGGAATGACCAGTTGCTATGATGTGCACTGATCACCAGGGGGCAGACACTCAATGCAGGAGCTTCCTCCAGCCCAGCCAAGGTGAGTGCCAGCGGGACCCTCCTGACAGGCCTCGTCCCACAGATTGGCTCTGCTCGCCGGCCAGGCTGAGAGACCCTACCCAGCGGCGAATTTCGTGCATCGGGCCTCTAGTATTATATATCATACAGCTTGAGGACTGATGCCAGAAGCAGAGCAACAGGGAAACACAGATAGACCTTGGAGATATTGTGGGTTTGGTTCCAGATCACTGTAATAAAGTGAGTACTGCAGTTAAGTGAGTTGTAATCTTTTTGCTGGAGGACAGTGTTGCCTTCCATTTGTAGAAAAACACAACACCTATAAAGCACAATAAAGTGAAGTGTAATAAAATGCGGTATGCCTCCACTGGAAATCTAGGCAGCTTTGAGTGCCTATAACTTTGCTTAAAGAAAACTTTCAGTTAAACCACAACTGCACTTAAAGCACAAATCACAATCCAAATCACAGTACTTCGGAGGTTAGCTCTGATTGGCTCCCCTTTCTACATTAGTTTCTTATTACTGCTGTAACATTACTACAAACTTAGTGGCATAAAACAACACAAATTCGCCACTTGGAGTTCTGTGGTTTAGACACCTAAAATCAAAGTGTCTGCAGGCTTGTATTCTTTCTGCAGGCTCTGGTAGAGAATCTGTTGAGGGGTTTGTGTGTGTGTGCTTTTTTCTTTCTTTCAGTTTTAGCAAATATGTATATACTACTAGCCCTGTGCGTGAATCTGTGCGCCCGTAGCTCTCTGCTGCCCTCCTATAGCTTTCCTGTAGCTTCTCCCCTCCCTCCCCGCACCTGTAGCTTTTCCACACCCGCTTGTGTAGTTCGCTGCCCCACCTTCCTGCGTATCTGCCACCCAGTCGTTAAAGGGGAATCAATCAATGGCAAAAGTATACACGACCAGATCAAGTAATTAGCATATTCCTCTCTTATTATGTAGGATTCCCCAAATAATGAATAAAGCTTTATATGTTTAATTTTTTTAATCCTCACCCAAGGATATTTTTTCCATTGATTTTTTTTTAAAATATATTTTATTGATTTTATACAGAGAGGAAGGGAGAGAGATAGAGAGTTAGAAACATTGATGAGAGAGAATCATCGATCAGCTGCCTCTTGCACACCCCCTCCTGGGGATGTGCCCGCAACCAAGGTACATGCCCTTGACTGGAATCGAACCCGGGACCCTTCAGTCCCCAGGACGACGCTCTATCCATTGAGCCAAACTGGTCCCGGCGCCATTGATTTTTAAAGAGTGGAAGGGAGGATAGAGGGAGAGAGAAACATGGATGTGAGAGACAGACTCCCAGACTGGGGCCAAGGATTGACCCTGCAACCCAGGCATGTGCTCTTGACCAGAAATTGAATCCAAACACGAGACCCTCAGTCCTAGGGCCAACGCTCTAACCACTGAGCAACTTTATGTTTGGAATTTTATGTTACATCGT